CACTCACAGCCAGCACTCTAACCCCCAGCACTCTAACTCCCAGCACTCTAACCCCCAGTCTCACTCACAGCCAGCACTCTAACCTCCAGCACTCTAACCCCCAGTCTCACTCACAGCCAGCACTCTAACTCCCAGCACTTTAACCCCCAGCCCCACTCACAGCCAGCACTCTAACCCCCAGTCTCACTCACAGCCAGCACTCTAACTCCCAGCACTCTAACCCCAGCCAGCCTCACCTTGAGATTGACAGCCGGCAGCTCCATGACTGTCGGACTCCGATCTGGAACTGGGCGGGGATCACGTGATCCCAGGGGATGTCATGTGACGCTTCCTGCCCGGGTTGCTATGATACAGCGTGCGCTGAGCGCAATAACTGGCGCAATGTGTATTTACTATGGCAGCATTAACCCCTTAGGGACTGAGCAAAACAAAGCTGGAGTCAGACTCTCTCACATTAACCCCTTAGGGACTGAGCCACATGTACACAGAATGAACCTCTAGAATAATCATAAATACTAAATAAACAATAAATACTAAATAAAGATAAATACTAAATAAAGATAAATAGTTATAAATAATTACACGCAAGATTTAACCCCTTAAGGACGGAGCCAAATGTACACATTGTGAACAAAACAAAATGTAAACAAAACCTGGCATTTCCGCTACATGTCTGTCCAACCGTAATTCACCTCTTTCATAGTAAATGCACCCACCCTTATTATATATCATTTTATTCAGGGGAAACAGGGCTTTCATTTAATATCAAATATTTAGCATGAAACATAATTTAATATGAAAAAAATGGGATTTTTTTGATTTGATTTGATTTTTTTTGATTTTTTTTAGTTCTACATGACATTTTAACTGTCAATGTCATAATACTGTTTGGTTTTACTGCAATAAAATACACATATTTGTATTCAGCGATGTCTCACGTGTAAAACAGTACCCCCTATGTACAGGTTTTATGGCGTTTTGGATAATTACAGCATTATATATAGTCATAGGGGTGCGCAGCCTAAAGCACAAGCACACGCCGCGTATATTTAAGTATATATGTATGTGTGTATACACACACATACACTGCTGTGTGTGTGTGTGCTGTGTGAGGGTGCTGGTAGTGTGCTATGTGGGTGAGGGTGTTTGTGTGTGTGTGCGCTTGTGAGGGTGCTGTTAATGTACTGTGTGTGAGGGTGCTGTTTGTGTGTGAGGGTACTGGTAGTGTGCTGTGTGTGTGTTTGTTAGGGTCCTGTTAGTGTGCTGTGTGAGGGTGCTGTTTGTGTTTGTGAGGGTACTGTTAGTGTGCTGTGTGTGTGTGAGGGTGCTGTTTGTGTGCTGTGAGGGTGCTGTATGTGTGTGTGGGTGCTGTGTGTGTGGGGGGGTGCTGTGTGTGTGGGTGACGTGTGTCCTGTTTGTGTGCTGTATGTGTGAGGATGATGTGTGTGTGTGGGTGATGTTTGTTTGCTGTGTGGGTGCTGTGGGTGCTGTGTGTGGGTATTGATATTAATAATTAAAGGTATTCCAGCTTGTACTCCTAGAATTATGTGATATATATATATATATATATATATATATATATTTAATCAATATCATTCTACGTGTACTTTGATATTAATATATATATATATCACATAATTCTGGGAGTACAAGCTGGAATACCTTTAATGGCAGCCACAACGAGACTTATATGCATGTCCACATGCAAGGGGCTCTCCCCTCTGGACCTCAGAGTAAACCACAGTAAAAGCAAATACACAATTACTCTCAGGTCCAGGACACTCCCATTACAAAGTTACTTCCCCTGATAGCCCTGATCTGGGTGACCAACATATCCAAAAATAACCCAGATCAGTTCAGGGGTTCAGGAATTTCACAGAAGTCATTTGTTTGACCGACCGCACGCATGGTCCCATACCCAAAATAGTTCCATAAAATCAGGGCTT